TATCGTCTCTCTCTCTCTCTCTCTCTCTCTCTCACTCTCTCTCACTCTCACTCTCACTCATATAGGCAGAGGCCGAGTTTACCTGATCTATTCACCAGCTGTGCGTGCACTAATGTGACGACAATCGTGCCGCTTGTCATTGATGTATTTAGCGGCGACAATGTTGGGCAACATTTATCAAAGACGAGAGAGAAAGAGAATGTTATTGAGGCTGTACGTTATTTCAAGGGATATTTATTTAGGAAGGAAATGCGCCGGTCTGACGGTGCACATCTCGTTCGCACATACAGCCCCACCACTTCTATTCACATATGTACGAGCGTAATTACATTTAAATAGAAATTATGACTCATCGCCAAGCACACCCTCTGGATATCTTTTTATCAACATGAATCTCTTTCATTTTTCTTAAAAACATTTCATAGATCTATTTTTTTTAATATTTTTTATATTTCATTTTATATTTTTTATATATTTCATCATTTAACAAATTCGCTCTGAATATAATTAAATTCAAAGCAGTTATAAATTATTAAAAATAAATCTAGTGTCTGTTAATTTTGTCATGTTCAATTATTTCAAAATGATATAAAATTTAAAATTTTTTTGTAAAACTGTAAAGAAAGTGTTGAATTAGAAAGTGTTGATACATGATAATTATATTTTGTATATATATATATATTTTATATATATTGAATACATTTTCCATCTGTTTCTCAAACTGAGAGAAAACTTATATTACTGATAATTCTATCGATTAAATATTTCGTATCTTCGTATTTTTACGCTTTCTTATATTTATATCTTCTTTTTCATTAATTGTTATCGAACTCTTGTAATAAATCTACTATTACTCTCTACGAAAGGACGAAATTCTGTTTCGTATTTGCAAAATTTCGCGGGTAGGAAGTAGCCAACATATGTCCACAGAGTTCGCCGTCGTGCTCTTCGCACGTACTATTCAACTATTAATAGTCATTACCACTTTCACTCAGTGCCGTTATTACTGCTTCTCCTCTCCGCCACGATCGCCTCCCGGCGATCGTTCTCGTTTTGCTCTGGACTTTAATTAGGATTCCGTCATGACGTGAGCGCCGGGCTCCAGCTGCTTCGAATACATTTTTTTTGAGCGCATCGCTAATTCGCCGACTAAGCGTTCCGATCGAATCTCGGCAGCGGCGAATAAACTCGTAACGAGCGGCGCTCCAAAGGGAAGTTCTAGGCTCGTTGCACTGTAGTACGCTAAATTAGGCCGTAAGCACTGCAGGAATCCAAAGAGGCGTTCGCTAGGCCGATTAGCATCGACGAAATTATTCGAATACTGGATCAGTACTCTTCGACAGTTGTCAACAGCTCGATAAATCGATATATATTTTTATCATATAATTTTTAATTTCAACGAAAATGTTGAGATACATACATGTTGTTTTTTTTTATTCTTGAATATAACAAATAGTTTCAAAAATTGTATAATTTTTATTTCTTTATTTCTGAATTTATGATTCAGATATGAAAATCCAATTTTTTTAATGATATTTATCAAGACATAAATATCACGATACTGTAAAACGAATAAAAGTATTGATTATTTTTTTTTTTTTTT